TTTTTTTGAGTCTGTGGTGTATTTTGTGATGTTTTATTACATTTCATTGTGGTGTGTTTTTATTACACTGTTGGTGCATATTGTTAACACTGTTGGTGTATTCTGAAATTCCGACGCACAGTAAGACCCCGCCGCATATGAACTTTATTCTATATATATATATATATATATATATATATATATATATATATATATATATATATATATATATATATATATATATATATATATATATATATATATATCCAAACAACAATCCTACTCCTACGCCAATATGGAAATCCTATAAGCAACATATCTACTAATTTACGATTTCGAACCAGATTAGGATTCCTATAATCATACTACTATACTAGCTAGCTAATACGGAGTATTTCAGTTTATATATACCAAGCCCTAGCTAGCCTCTAAACCTCAAAAACAAACATTCTTCAATAATTTGTAGAGATCTAAGAGGAATTGAAGGAGATCAATCAAACATGTCGGACTCACAATCACAAAGTTGCCAGCCGACAAGTCCCCGGAAATGTGCCCGCGGCTGCGGCTTCTTCGGCCACCCGGAAAACAAGTTCCTATGCTCCAAGTGCTACACTGACTATCTGAAAGAGGAGATTTCCAAGTTGCCCGCCGCCGCCGCCGTTACTCTCACGTCGTCGCCATGCAAAACGCCGCAGGATTCATCTTCAAATGCCGATTTGGCCGCCGAGTCTGCGCCGGCGCCGGCGAAGAGTAAGAGGTGTTTCTGCTGCAAGAAGAAGGTTGGGTTGATGAGCTTTGAGTGCCGCTGTGGCGGAACGTTTTGTGGGCGTCATCGGTTCCCGGAAGAACACAAATGTGATTTTGATTACAAGGCTACGGGACGTAAGATTTTGGCTATGGAAAATCCGGCCATCACTGCTGACAAGTTGCCAGAAAGGATTTAACTTAGTCAATATAGCATAAAGGAATTATATGTAACCAGTTTGGTCGTTTGTAAAAATTTATTATAAATATTGATTGACTCTATCGTTTTGATAAGTATTTTTTTTACGTGATTGGGGTAATGCCCAATGTTTTTTTTAAATAAGTATTTTAAAGTATATCAATGCAAGATTATATTAGAACTGTTCATGCATAGATAATTGAATTTTGAATTTGAGTATTTAAATTGGTAATTCTAAGTTTACAAATGCAGGATAATATAGTCAAGATGATTACAATTGTCAATAAAATAATTGTATGCTGGGTATGGTTGAAACCAAATACGGGACATAAGGGAGATCAAATAAAAATTAAAGCATAAAATATTAAATATATACTAATATTGTTTGAGGAGATTTGGACAGTAGGATTTGTGGTTAGAGTTCTATTAAGACTTTAATATTAGAATTAGATTAATATTGTAGTTATAATTCTATATTAGACTTTAATATTAGAATTAGACTAACCGTGAATTAATGTTACTTAATGGAAAAGTTAAAGGATCGGATAATCATATAATTAAGGATAAATTAGAAAATCTCAAGGAAAAATTAAAATCTGAACAATCTGAACTATTCATTTGATTTACTAATTTGACGGTCATTTTTCTACCCAATGTTTATAATTAAATAAATATTTGAAAGTATATAAATGCATGATTATATATGTGAAGTTCAACATAAGTAATTTAATGTCTAATTTGTTTATTTAAATATGTAATTCATAGTATATGAATACAATGTAATATAGGAGATTTATTATAATTGTTACTAAACTTTTTTTAAATAGTAAACAAGTATTTTTGTTGCAAAGGGTTCTAATATATTTAATGAATGCACATATATACAAGATCAATGAATGAATCAACGGTACCAGTTCTTTAGGTGTTTTACTCAGTTTTCATTTAGTTTAACCATTATTGTTGCATGAATTATTATGGATAAAGAAATCCCTAATTTAAGGAATTTAGATGTAGTAAAAATTTAAAAATTTTAATTATAATGTAACCCAAAGATATTGAACTATTGGTAAATATGATGTAACCCAAAGATCAAAATGCTAAAGAAAGTGTTTTGATTATTCAACAGTTTGAAGCTACAATTTGATCCAAACCATTGAAAATACAAACATTGCAATTTACAATATTTTCATTTAACGTTTTTGAGAATGATTTTCTCAAAACACATCTATATTTTTAAAAAAAATATTATTAAAACAATTATTATTATTATTATTATTATTATTATTATTATTATTATTATTATTATTATTATTATTATTATTATTATTATTATTATTATTATACCCTAAGGTCATTTTAAATGTTAATTTAAACAGTTAATTTTTTCAAATATCCTTTTACTAACCGTTGATATAATTCACTGGTCAAATCCGCTAACGCTAACCGCTAACTGATGCATGGTTGCAGTAGGCGCTAGGCGCTAGGCGCTAGTCGGGCGCCCGGACAGCGCCTAGCGCCTAGGCGGAATCTAGGCGGCGCTAGGCGAGCGCCAAAAAAACAGTGGTTGACTTGCAATTTGACAATTTTAATAAGGTTGTTTTCAACATTTAATCAAATAACACATCCAAATAGATGAATTAATGATAATTCATAAATCATAAGTCATAACATCAAAACAATGGTTTTCAAAAAAAAAACATTAAAACAATATTAAAAATTAAAAATACTCAAATACTTCAATCATCCAAAGATTCAAATTATCAAATTAGTCTACGAGTGTATATATGTCATATTATATATATGTATGCGCGCGCGCGCGCACACACATACACACATATATATATATAATAAAAAAAAATAGGCCGAACCGATCGGGTTAACTTGACCGAAATGGACGAGTTAACTCGACTAACTTAGACGCTAGGCGGCCAAATCGGCCGAGTTAGGCGCTAGGCGGACGCCTAGGGGGGAAATCGCCACGGTCTAGAGGCGCCTAGCGCCTAGGTGGGGCCTAGGCGGGCGCCTAGACCGATTTTTACAACCCTGAACTGATGATTGTCAAACAAGGACATTGCGAGGTAGTTTCTCACTTCAATTTGTTGTGTGATTTGAATACTCTCTTTGTCAACAAATTCCTCAAGTAGTTAATATAATTGACTTTATTAATTTAAATTTTTTAAATTTTTTCATGGTATTAATAAAATACTAGGAAAATAAATATATAGCTTATTTTGTATTATAACTTTGATATTTAATAAAAAAAATAGTGCACAAAAACGATAATAGACAATGTAGTGAATATAATCAATTGATGAATTTGAATGTAAAGAATTTTTACATTAGAGAAAAATAAAGACAATATAACTAATGAAATTATTTCTCTTAATTAATTTATTGATAATGAATAATTTTTTTTAATAAAGAGATTATAGGGACAATGTAGCGAATATAATCAATTGATGAATTTGAATTTTGAATGTAAAGAATTTTTATATTGGAGAAAAATAAAGACAATATAACTAATGAAATTATTTCTCTTATTTAATTTATTGATAATGAATAAATTTTTTTTTTGAATAAAGACAGTGTAGACACATAATTCTAAATTAAAGAAATGCATATGTATTATTTCTTGTTGTAGCTACTAAATTATTATTTAATTTAATAAGAGTAAAATAGAGTACTAATTATGCCAACATTAATTGGAAAGTGGTTCGAACCTACGACCTTTCTTATTGAAATCAATGAGTAAGTTAACAGTGAACTAACAAAAATTAACGAAAAAAATAATATTTAACGGAAAAGTTAATGGATAATCATATTCATTAAGGATAAATTAGGAAATCTCAAGGAAAAATTAAAATCTGATCAATCTGAGTCATTCATTTGATTAAAAAATTTGGCTGCCATTTTTTCTATCCATTATAGGCCTAACTCTCTTGGGCTCTTATATATATATATATATATATATATATATATATATATATATATATATATATATAAAATTGTAACGTGATACTCCATTAGTTTCAAAATAAATAAATAAATAAATAAAATATGAGCATTTGATAGGATGATGAGATATGCCGAAAGGCTCTTTTGTGAAGATTAATATTGTTGGGATTGCAAAACGTTAACCCGGGGAAGGTGCAAGATAATGGTAGGTTAGGAATATAATGTGAGGATGTCCAATGCGAGTGGGTATGTGGTTTTTGGCTTTTTGGTATGGCGATATTGGCTTGGCAAATTATATTGTTCACCATGGTCCATATTACAATATAAACTATGTAAAAATGTTTATTTTTAAAACTGAAGTCACATTATTTATATATTAGATATTCAAAATTTAGTAGTGGATATTCATATAATATACTTTTAAAAATGAACATTTAATGTATTAAAAATGTACTTTAAATATAAGATAGACCATGTTTCAGAGTATAATTATTGATTCACTTGTAGCTATACTGAAATGCCATATTGACAGAGAGTGACTCTACTCTGATCTACTAAATATGTGCATAACAAAATAAATAGGTGTGTAAATTGGCTAGCCACAATACATGATTGTCAACCTCTAGAACTACACTTTTATTACAGTCCGCCCTAGGATCTCATGTAATATGGATCGTCTGATCCACATTTTTATAATCTTTGTTAGTTTAGTTAATTTAGGTTCTTTTCTTTGCCATGTATCAAAATAAATTAAATAAATTATACTTGTATTGTTCTTCAATTCTTGAGTTAATTCTAGTGAAGGTCCTTTGTTTTTTTGTGATAATTTTAAATTTAGTTACAAGTTATTATTTTTGTCATTTAACACCTTAGATTATCATATTTTGAACACTTTTGATCATGTCGATGACTTTTCCAGTAAAACCTTTTTTTAGCGATTGTATTTTAGTCTCTTCAAATTTTGTTTATTATTTTTCCAATTAGTTAGTTACAGCGAAGGTCTCTTATCTTTGATAACAATTCCAAATTTAGTCCCGGACAATCTATTTTGTCATTTAACAACTCAAACCTTCATATTTTAGACACTTTTGGTCATTCCAATGATTTTTTAAGGTGAAGCCCTATTTTAGGTAATGGGCATTTTCGTCTCTTTAATTTTTTTATTTTCCAATTTTTTGCGCCAATTGTTTTTCTAATTTTCGTCTCTTCAGTCATGGATTGCACCATCTCCTTAACCTGGTTCATGTCTTCATCTCGTTCAATAACCCGGCCACAAATCGTCCTTCATCAATGGCGATATCGAGTACGTGATGACCTCTGGGTATGGGTGAATCATTTCACAACGTACTTGGAAACCTCAGGATGTCGTCACCCAGTCGGCTTCAGTTTGACAGCTTTTGTTTTAGTCCATGATTCTGTGAATCATCTACTATAACTATATAGAAAAAAAAATAAAGAAAAAAAAAAAGCATTTTCTTTGTCATCGGAAAATACTCTTTCCTAATTTAGAGCGTAAAAAGTCATTGAAATGACCAAAAGTGTCCAAAATATGATAATTTGGAATGTTGAATGGCAAAACCAATTTTCTATGACTAAATTTGAAAATGTCACACAAGACAAGCGATCTCCGGTATAATTAACTCATTGGAAAAATAATAAGAAAATTTAAGAGACAAAAATACCCTTGCCTAAAAAAGGATTTCACCAAAAAATTCATCGGAACGATAGTCTGAGGTTAAATTTATAATTGCCACAAAAAATAAAAGACCTCTACTGGAATTAACCCTATTTTCTTAGTATATACCTCTTAAAAAGGTGGACCAAAGTAGCTTTTCTTAAAAGATAAAATGCTCCGAAAAAGATTAGCATAAACTAATATGCTACTAAGAAATGCGAACATTTAGCATAAAAACAAATAAGTGCATAATAATACTCACGTAATCCTTATTGGTTATAAATGTTAGCTGCAGCATAACTAATATTTCAAATAATAACCGAAGTTATGTTTGATGAGGAATTCCTTAATTCAGAGTCCAATTACGATACTCTATTCCATATCCCAATAACTAAAATCTGTATTTTATACTCGCACAAATTTTTATAATTGATGAATATAAGAAAGAATATATACTCCATACGATTCTTTACTATATATATATATATATATATATATATATATATATATATATGTATATGGGAAATTCTATTCACACCCTCTTTTTTACTATTTGCACCACCTACATAATAGGTCAAACCACTTTATAAGTGGTGTTAACTAAAAAATGCTATTTACATCCCATCATTTATTGTGGTCAAAAGATTAATATTTATTTTATATATATTTTTATTTTACAATCAAATTAATAATTTAAAAAAAAAAAAAAAAAACACCAAACTTGACGTCACCTTCTCCGGTGAGAAGGCAGCCCAGTGGGTCACCTTCTCACCGGAGAAGGCGACCCAAGTAGAACATTTTAGGAACCCTGCAAAAAAAAGAAGACAAAGAGGTGATTTAAAAAAAAAAAAAAAAAAAAAAAAAAAAAAAAAAAAAAAAAAGTTAACGGGTCACCTTCTCCGGTGAGAAGGCAGCCCAGTGGGTCGCCTTCTCACCGGAGAAGGCGACCCAAGTAGATTTCTACCTGGATTGCCTTCTCCGGTGAGAAGGCAACTCACAGTGGGTTGCCTTCTCACCGGAGAAGGCAACCCAGGTAGAAATCTGCCTGGGTCGCCTTCTCCGGCGAGAAGGCGACCCACTAGGCTGCCTTCTCACCGGAGAAGGTGAGTCTTTTCTTTTCTCTTTTTTTTTTTTTTTAATGTATTAATTAATTAAATTTTAAATTATCAAAGTATTAATTGCAAGTTTAACAAGGGGGTGCAAATAACATTTTAACCACCCATTAGGCTATTTGCACCACCTATGTATTTATTGTAAGTTTTTAACTTTTTATATTTTCAATGTACTTTTTACCCCATTTTAGTCAAAGGGGGTGCAAATAGCAACACCCATATATATATATATACTCCATGGGAAATTGGTTCTAACCAAACTCAAACATTTCACCTAGTTGCATTGATTGCCAGCCACAGTATATCCCTAAGAAAAAAAAATTCTCATATGAACACTCGTTCTATACGAGATAGCCATTACCATTCTCATTTCATATTAAAGGGGGCTATTGACAACTAAAATTACTCTAAATTATTATGAATGAAATAAACCATCTCAGAGATAATCCATTTGCACAAGGAACTAAAATAAACTTGAGTAAGCAGCAAATTTTAGGGGCCAAGGGTGTCCTTTTCTAACATAAGATTTTCTTAAGAATGCATCACCACAAATACATTATTATACATAACACATTGGCATGATGATTCAAACATTATTCCAAACACATTGAGAAATTGTCTGATTGGTAGAACTCTGTACGTACCAAAATAAATAATTCTTGCAAACATTACCCTCACAAGTATAAAAAGGAATGTCCGCCTTAGAGGATGGAGTACTGAAATAATGACACTCATGTTACACCTTCACAATCTAAGTGGATTATTGGTGCATTTATTTTGGCTGAACAAGGAGAGAAGATGATGGCTAAACCTGCAAAAAGCTGGCATACTTTGCACCCAAGAAAAGCCTTTGGATGCATAGCAATGCATTTTTGGTAACCTCAGGATTTTCATGGTTCAACAGTTTCATTGCTCGTTCCTTAGCCTTGAGGTCAGTCACAATTACCCGCCCAGCTGGATGGCATTGAATGAATTGTGACAGATCGAAGCAAGCAACAGCAAGTGTTCTTGGATCACTGGATGTGTCCAAAATTGTAATAAGGACCCTCAGGATCTGCAATCCAAATTCAGTGCATCAGTCTTGTATTGTCGTAGAATTCAATGCTATTTACCACAATACCATAGCCATCCAATGATTATATACAACATGACTTACACGCAACAAACAAAAAATTAAAAGGGGTCTGAACAACAACTGAATATCTGATACCTGGAAATCATTCTCTTCAAAATTTGTAATGTTGTCCCTCCAGAATGCAGGATCTTTATGCATAGGGGACCAATCAAGATGGCCGAGAAGGACCTCCTGCTTGTACTTATCAAATGAACTCAATTTCTTAATGTTATCTTTCAGTCCTTCTTCTAGTTGGTTGAGAGCCTCCAAAAGATCCTACAGAAAATAAAAATGAAGTTTAACTGTCTGGAAATGAAGAGTTCAGAGTTTCTTCAATGCTCATTTGTCATATCTCCTTTTTTATCTCACATCCATCTAGATAATTTCATTTCAATTATAAATTGTAATATCAAAATAAAAATTTATGCGATCATTCTCTCACCTCATCACTCCAAGCCTGTGCTTTCAAGTTCTGAACAATATGCAGTACTCCCAGGTCCACCAAAAGTGCTCCAAACGTCCCCTTGTGAAGCAAATTCCTCAGAGTCAAGACAACAACTCTGACAACCTACAAGTTGATACACAATATATGATGCATTAAGATAAATATATATAAAAATACACATAGACGTGTCTGTGTGTATGACCTTGTAAGCATGGGGAAATTATTATTTAAACTGAGCCAAGGAAATTGAAGAATGAATAGGAACAGTAGAAGCCAATTTTGAATGAAACTGATAGCTGAATGAGGAAAGATAATATGGAGTTAGAATATAAGCATGCCATGTTTGAAGGTCTGGTGAAGAAGATGGCCATCTGAAGAAGTTCATAACAAGAAATGCAACTCACCTTTTCCTTGGTTGAACCTTTAACAACATCTATTAACCGTGGCAAGGCCCTCGAAGTTGCCAAGTACTCAATTGCAGGCTCATAGTAAGACAAAAGCCAAACACATAAGCATGTTTCATAGAGGAGCTGTTTCAAGGAAAGATAAGAAGTCAGATATATTCTGAAACTACTTCACAAGATCATTTTCAAGTACAGTAGAATGTGACAAAAAATTCAGTTAAAAATTCAGTTATCAAATTTAAGGAGTTGCATAACATTAAAATGAGATAAGAACCTATATCTGCGAATTATCAGCATATATCAGACTGGTATAACATAAAGAAACCTATTTAAGACAAAGCACTACCTGGATAGATTGCTGAGTAGAAGCTGGAGAAATTAAAGGAACAAGCAGCTTCACTCCATCAACTTGAACAAATGATGATCGCACCAAAGGTTCTTTCAACAGAGTTGCAAGGCTATTGATTGCAGTTGGAATGCCACGACTAGGATGTGAGGGTCTTCTCAGCTGCATGGCAAAGAAAAATGAGGATGCAGAATTTCACAGGTTATTATTACAAGCATAAAAAATAGAAGACACTGAAGATAAAGGTTATAAACATTAACGGTAGACAGATGTCACAATTCTCTATGGAATCACATTCCTTTTAAAATCCTTATAGAATTTAATTCCTATCCACTTTGTTTTATTCCATGAGCCAAACATGCCAATCTATACATTATATGACTCCCAGAAGTTTCTGTTGTTGGGACTAAAAACTTTCGTACTGACATTATACTTCCATCATAAGGATATCTTAGGTCCGTCCACATGAAATGTTAGTCCTCCAATTTCAAGAACTAAGACAGAGAACTAGTGGCAGTGTGGTGTATACAAACCTGCATACAAAGCCACTCAACAAGTCCCTTCAAAACATCATCAATGGTAGTGACTTTCTTTTTTGAATTTGAGGCATCCCCATTCCCAACACCATCTTCCTGAACTTTAGGCCTGACACTGGAATTGACAAAAATTAAGAGTTGTAATGAAGTTTAATAAATCATCTTCCAAGTCTCTTAAGAAACCTTGAAATTGAACTTACTACCTTACTATCAAAGAAAGTATCTTGCAACTCTTCTCTTGCACAAACCAGTTACCTTTCCAGAGCAGTCTGAAAAAAGAAAACAGAGAAGTTCATATTTTAGAAAAGACCTTAGAACAGTAAAAAGAATAGTAACAGTAGTAATATAATAAAATTGATATTTTGTAATTTGGGAAGCGATACTGAAGGACTGCCAAAAGTGCAGAGTTCTTTAAGTATTAGAATGAAGAGATAAGATAACCACAAAATGAGATTGGGAAAGCAAATTGTTAGTGCCTTTTTTAAAGCACTGCACACAATCTGTCAGAGCAGGTAACAAATGTGCATATAGAGACATGTGAAAACAAAAGATACCCTCAAATCCAGAATATTAGAGAAAATTAATAAACATATGAATAACATTGCCTTAGGAAAGGTTCATAAGTATCTTCATCTGCAAGAGACTTGTCATGGAATAATCTTGCTCTTTTTGGGTTAACTGCAAGGGAATTAAGAAACAGGTAAGATAAACTCAAAAAGCAATTATAAAAAATGACGACTTCTTCCTGCACTTACCAGTAAGCATTTCATCAATTAAAGCTAAAACATATTCCAATGTTTCTTCCTTGAGAATGTCACGTAGGATGCTGACAAACACACGGATGTAAGCCGGACCATCCTGCAGAAGTTTTAATTTGTCAATGTTTCCAAATCATCTATTCTACAAACTTTCATCAAATGGATTTCTTCAAGGCTGAGACAATGATGAGATGCAAGGATTTAAAACAATGGACATCATATATATAACGAAAAAAGTTGACCTAGATGAATGAACATGAAACAGAACCAATGTGCAAGTGCAGCATCTTAGAGTTCTGCTATAGTAGACTTCATTCAAAATAATTTGAATTGTGGCTCATAAAAGTCACAAATTTTTGGAATGTATTCTGGATCAGTGTAGAAGCAAAACCTTAAAGATTCAAGGGTTGAGTGTGCATATAAAGCATCTTAAATAAACATAGTGTAAAAACTAGTTTCAACTTAATTGACAGAGTAACATTATCTTTTGGAAATAGCAACATTAGATAGAAATTTACAAGGTATCAATTGAAGGCAGTATTACAAAAATAATGGCCTTAAAGAAATATTTGACTTCAGCAGAATGCCAGGTTCTGGGAAAATAAATATACTTAAGCAATGGCTCTAAATCAGATATTACTTTTGTCATGGAAAATACTATCAATCAATTAATAAATAACCTTTATAAAATTGATCTATTGACAGGCTGAAAGAATCAAAGAAATACAACTCCTTTTATGAGTTTCAAAACTTAAGTCAAAGTTTGATCTAATAACACCATAGAACCGTGACTATGGCAATTTATATGGAGAAAAGTAAGAGAAATTGAAAAAAGTACATCATCCAGCAGTTGGGTTTTGTAACTTTCAGCCTTCTTATCATAGCGCCTCAACAGTTGAAGACCAGTTCCTGTGATCAGCTTTGTTGTCATGTAAGTCTCCCATGGGATATCCCTTGTCAAAACCTTCCAAACAAAGCAAATTAAAGTGTAATGTCAGTCAACCCATTTGTGCATTTTTTTATAGAGTGGACAGAATTTGGCTTAAGTGGTGGATCAAGTGTTTAGTCTTTTTGTGATCTATTGGCCGTATAACTTTCCAGGTTGGTTTCTCATTTCTCACAGGGCTCAAAGTTAGAATTTTTTTCATATCATTTAAGTGAATAATTTTCTTCATTTTTCTGGACTTCTCTCCTATTAAAACACAGAGAAAATAGTTTACTAAAAGAGAAAGTGTTTAAGTTATCATCTATGCTGATATTCAATATGCAAGAAAAATATTATTTCCCCAAAATTTATGAAATACATAAAGGGCACTACATGTAGGCTTATATGTTTTCCACTTTTTTCTTTTGTGCTATCATAAAGTCTGTCAGAATATTTACTCTTTTTGCATAAGCCAATAGTCTGCTATTACAGAACAAAATTATACACCTTAATATGCAGTAAGCCTTAGGGCACACAATAGATTAAAAGAAGCTCAACATGTAATCACCAAAATCATTTTTTCACTCTTCTATAGTTTTATTTATTTGGAATATTAGGACCTTTGTGTGCATCTTAAAATTTTACTTTAAATTTTCAAAACCAAGCACAGCAGCTTTCCGGTGAATAAGAAGGTAAACAATGCTCTGGTGAAATAACCTCGGATAGCGAAAGCACTGAACAATCCATCATACATCTTCAGAATGGTGAACGGGAAAACAAGAATACAAACCTACCTTTCACATCTACACATGTACAAGAAAGACATACAACTGCAAATTCTTTAACATTCAAACTAAAACTCATTCAATCTCACAGGTCCAATCATAACTCATACACATACATGTATTTGTACAAAGGCAGAGGGGATTAGTACCTGCTCAGTGGTGAGCTCAGCGTGATCCGTTGGCATGGTGAAAATAGGCCTCAGATCTAGAATGACATTGAAACATCAAAATCATTGTAGCGTATAATCATCAAAACAAAGAGTAATTTTGAGATTGCAAAAGGAACTTTTAACAATTGCATTGAATTACGGAATTACAAATACAAGAACACAATGAAATTGAATTGCGAGAGTATAATTGAATAGGCTTAGGATCTGAAAAGCGTACTGATTCCGGAGTCGATTGACCGGAGAGCACTGGGCGAGAACGAGATGTATGGAGGACGAAGGAGAGGAGGAACACAGATGGATCAGAAGAGAAGGTTGGGAACGAGTTTTTTATTTTTCTTTTCTTTTAATACGTATGATTTATAACTTATTCCCCGATTTTAAAAATTATTTTCCTACATTTTTATCTCTTGGAGTTTTAGGGGAAAACAAATAAAAATAAATTTGCGTTTGCCGGGAGTCGAACCCGGGTCTATTGCTTGGAAGGCAATTATCCTAACCGTTGGACTACAAACGCCTTGTTGAATGATCTTATCTTGAATCTTAAAACCCTACTACCACCTTTACAAAAAAAAAAAAAAAAACACTACTACCAGTCTACCACCAAGTAGCATTGACGGTAAGCATAGCCCATTTTTCAATATATGTTATATTAATGTCTTAGGAAAATGCCAAGCAACTTATGCTCAGATAAGATCTAGTGATTCTTTTATATGAGAGGTTGAGAGTGCTTCAACAGATTGAGAAAGTATAGATTAACAATACTATAATGTAATAGAGTCAGTAGTACTCAAAAAAAATGTCTTGGGGAAATTATACAATTGAGTTATTGACTATGGTTTACCTTGTATTGTGAATTTCGATCTAAAATGATACTCCGTATTTAAATTATGTGTTAGCAGTTAACCTATTATATATCTTCAGTTAATAGATTATATGTCTATAAATAAATTGAAGATAAATAATATGTTAACTGTAGGGATATAAATTATGTACCTATTACACTTAACATATTACTCTATTCGTCTAATTTTATATGTCTAGTTCGGTTAACGAGTTTTGATTGAAGTTATTTTTACTTCAATTTTTCATAATATTAAGTTTAGTATTAGTATATAAATTGTATATATTTAGAAACTAAATTAAAAGCACAATTAGCCAATGACCTTTGTGGTCTAGTAGCACCAAGTTGCTCTTCCATATGGGAGGTTGTGGGTTTGAGCTTAATAAATGGAGGCGATATGAAATTGTAATACAATTCCTAATAGAATGTATTGTGTTTTACTTTCCTATTTATACTACAATTCTACAGTAAAATTCATATTCGTAATACAATAGAACAATATTAAAATTCATATTCGTAATACAATACAGCAATATTAAAATTTCTATTTAACAATATTATTCTGTCACTACTCTAATCAATACTCAATACTTTATTAAAAACAAAACCATCTTTATTTTTTTTTATCAAAAGGAAGGGGGAAACCCAAAAATAAAGCCTAGCTATTAACATGTTGACGCCAGGTTGGTATACTATCCATATCATCTTGTAGGATGCCTAAGAACTCATCTGGCGGACTGTTGAAGATGTGGATGCCTTTGGGAAGGGTCTTGGCGTTAGTTGCCAGTGCATCCGCTAGGGAATTCTGTTCACGGAGGATTGGGAGTACACACCAAGTATGAAAGGTTCTTGACTCACGGATGCAAGCCGCTACAAGGTTCTGAATAATGTTGTTAGATGGTTGATTCCGAGCGACACTTTCAAAGATCTCCTTTGAATCAGTTTTGAAATATCAAATCCCTGAAGTCTAGGCGTTTTGCCAGTTGTATGCCTTTCAGTAGAGCCCAGGCCTCAGCTACTAATGGAGAGCAGATACCGATGCTGTATGTGAAACCGGTCAACCATGAACCTGAATCATCTCTAGCGACTCCTCCGCAGTCTGCTCTGCTAGTCTGGAGATCGACAGAGGCATCAATGTTAATTTTAATAATTCCAACTGGGGGTTTCGTCCAACAGAGTTTAAACCATGAACTTAGGAGGGGTGTTCTGGTTTTCCTAAATGCTTTAGACGCTTCTTTGGCTTGTGTTTGGATCCATTCAACTTTGTAGGACAGTGATTTCTCCTGGTTGTTGAAGACCGCGTCGTTCCTCCACCTCCAAATCCACCATAAGGTGGTAGCGAAGAGGGTTGATCTGTTAGAGGGATGGCTGCTTCCACCGCTTTTCCTGATGCCAATCGACATCCCATCTTCAAATGGAAAGTTTGGATCCATCAAAAGATAAGGGAGGACAATTTCCAGAACTTCTTTAGCTGTTGGACAGTCTCGAAGCACATGTTGTGTGTCCTCCGTCTTGGTTGGACAGCGGATGCATTTGTCGCATTCAGAGAGGCCCCTCTTATATTTATTGCTGTTAGTCAAGATTTTTCCATGCATCGCAGTCCAAATGAAAATACAAATCTTATTGGGAACTTTTAGTTTCCAGATACTCTTCCACTTGACATCATTAGCCATAGTAGGAGGTCTCAAAGCAGCATCATACGCAGAACTGGTGGAAAACTTACCAGAGGGTTCATGGCGCCATCCTAGCGAATCATTATCCTCTGGATCATTGCTGATTATTACCGCCGTCAATTGGTCTAAAATATCTTCTAGAAGTAAGCTGCTGAACTGGTTCCATCGCCAACCAAAATTGGGGTCCCAGTAACTAGAAACTGGTCTGTACAGTTCGAGGAGGGGAACTGCTTCTAAAAGACGAAGTCTTAGAGGGAAACTGTCCAACCATTTGTCGATCCAAAAAAGAGTGTTCATACCATTGTGTACTACTCTCTTGATGCCATCCTGGAGGATATGTTTGGAGCTAAGAATGCCTTTCCAGATGGGGGACATGTTTCTTTTTGGTTGCCAAAGTGACACATCGTCGCTGTTAACTGAATATTTTGATCTCATCAAACGAACCCACAGATTATCTTTTTCGTGTAGCATTCTCCAGCCAAGTTTTGCTAAGAACGCTTGGTTCATTTCCCTTAATCTCCGAATGCCGAGACCACCACATTGTTTGTTTTGAGTGACGACATCCCAACTGACCAAATGAATTTTCCTTGAGCCTTCTGAGCTGCCCCACAAGAATCCTCGAATCTGTTTCTCAATGGAGTCAATGATCCCAGCTGGTAGAGGTATGGATTGCATTGAATAGTATGGAATTGCCGAAAGAACAGATTGGGCTAACACCTGTCGGCCAGCAAGGGAGAGCGTTTTTGATTTCCAACCGGCTAATCTGGATTGCACTCTTTCGAGGATCCCTGAGAAAGCTTGTTGTTTTAATCTGCCATGGATGGAAGGCATCCCCAAGTATTTGCCTGGGTCTTCCACCTTGGATATACCAATAAGGTTGGTAATAGATTCCTGGAGGGAAGGCAGAGTATTCCTAAAGAAAAAAACTGAAGATTTCTGGAGATTCATTTTGAGACCAGAGCTGGTGCAGAAAGCTTCTAAGCAGGCTTTCATTTCTGAAGCTTGTGCAAGCGTGGCTTCACCGAACAGTACCATATCATCGGCGAAAAAGAGATGGGATATAAGAGGCCCATCTCGTGTTGTCATTACGCCTTTCCAGTGACCTGCATTTACAGAAACATTAATAGCATGACTAAGTTTTTCTAGGCATAAGGCAAAGAGAAGTTGTGAGATGGGATCTCCCTGTCGGATTCCTCTAGCAGGGTGGAACCAGTTAGAGTGTATTCCACCGCAATTGATGGCAAATCTTGGTGTTGTCACGCATGCCATGATGTTTCTGATCCACTGAGAATTAAAACCAATGTCCTGAAGTGTATCTTCTATGAATCCCCACGTTAGCCTATCATAGGCTTTCTCAAGGTCGACTTTAAGTAACATCCAACCCCTAGGACCTTTCTTGGTCCTCATTGAGTTGAGAAGTTCTTGATATACGATGACGTTGTCGGTGATTTGTCTTTCCGGTACAAAACTGGTCTGATGGGGTCCAATAAGCTTTTTAGAAGTTGCTTTCAGTCTCATAACCATTAACTTGGTGAGAAGCTTATATGATACGTTGCATAGGCCTATAGGACGAAGATGTTTAACAGATTCGGGGCACGAGACTTTGGGTATGAGAGTAATCAAGGTGTCGTTGCAAGCTTCAGGTAGTATACCATCTGCAAAAAAGCTTAGAGCGAAATTGGTTAAGCAGGCACCAGTAAGGTTCCATGTCAGTTGATAGAATTCTGCAGTGAAGCCGTCCGGTCCCGGGGCCTTGTTTGGTTTCATTTCGAACAGTGCTTGCTTGACATCTTCCGGTTGGAACGGAGCGTTAATCGCAGCCCATTCCTCTTGACTTAACACTGGAAAATAACCATATAGATTCGAAGAGACAAAAGGACAATTTTCTGAAAAAGATTTGACAAAGAAGTTAAAGATGTGATCACTGATTTGAGTGTCGGAGGTAAGGTGCTGCCCATTCTCATCTTTAATATGTTTAAGACTAGCAGAATTCGTTTTTGTAGCAGTGCTTGTGTGGTAGAAATGAGTATTGCGGTCTCCTGATTCGATCCATTCCTCCTTCGACCGTTGAAACCATAAGAACTCTTCTTGGTATAAGACATCTTCAAGTTCAGTACGTAATTTTCTGTCAAGCTTAATCAAATTTGCCCTTGGTCTAATAGCCAAAGAGCGTTGCACACCATTTATTCTAGCTAATAATCTTTTTTTTCTTATGAAAAATGTTGCCAAATGTACCTTTATTCCATGCTGCTAAGGATTTAGCCATAGCAGTTTTGTTAGATTCCAAGTTGCCCCCTTTGGACCAAGCTTGTTTAACGCAATCTATAAAGCTTAGGTGAGTGGACCAGGCAAGATTGAACCTGAACGACTTGGTTGAAGGAGCCTAAGATACAGATTCGAAATTGACTAAAATTGGGGAGTGGTCCGAGTTGATCATTGGTAGATGTTCGACCAACGGAAAACTAATCTTCCATGCTATGTTACCAAGTGCCCTATCTAGCCTTGCCCCTTTGAAGGATGGGGTATCAATTCCTCGTTTCCACGTGAATTTTGAACCGGTGAAACCTAAATCAATTAGATCCTCGCGGAAAATCCAGTTTTTGAAGTCAGAGCTGCGATTTAAGGAGAAATTTTCGGGGCTGCTGGTTTCATCCGAGCTTAACACTGAGTTGAAATCACCTACTACTAACCAGGGGATATCTGGGTGATGACTATCAGATGTGAGATCCGCGAACAACTTTTTACGAAGGTGTGCATTCGGGCTACCATACACAACAGAGAACAACCTAGATTTTGTGGTTGTAGGGTCTACCTGCATGGTAATAAATTGTAGGTGAGT